GCTTGTAGTTCTTTCAGCCATTATTTGTTTGTGAGATTCAACCGTCCCTTGAAGCTCTTCTTTTTCATACTTGAAAAATCCTTCGATTCTTCTATGAGTATTACCATATGATCAAACTTTGGGTGTAACGCCCTCAGGATCTTTGAAATTATAGATTTTGATGTCAACACTTTTCCACACATTTTGATTCGGCTCACCAGCATGTTACTCTGGTGAAGAAATTAGTCACGTTTTCATTATCTTCCATCTGAAACAATTCATACATTTATTTGTGAGTTTGTAACCTCACTTTCTCAACGCCTCTAAATGATTTTTCTAGGATGTCCCATGTTTTCTTTATTGAACGTACATCACCAACTTTGTCAAACTTCTCTGGATCAACACATTGATGGATTAAAAAGAGAGCCTTATAATCTTTCTTTTTCAAATCCTTGTGTGCAGCCTTTTGTTCATCTGTATCATTCTCTCCAATTGATGTTACTCCATTTTTCACAAGATCCCAATGATCTTGATGACAAAAAATAACCTTCAACTTCTTACACCAATTTTCATATTTCTTACCATTCAGGATTGGAAAATTCATTGAAAAATTCTTGTTTGGAGTATTCATCGTGATTCAATGCTTCCCAAAGATCACACAATCGGTGCCATAGATACCAGATGTTAGGAAAGACCCAATCTTAAAGTTAACTGAATCAATCTTGATGAACAAGAATCAATATTTCTGATTGATCACGCCTCTTTTTCTTCATCCTTTACTCAGGTGAAACAACCACTCCTTAGTTGCAACATGATTCTACATTACACAAAGAATTGAAAGAAGAAAACAAGACAATTAAAAATAAGAGAAATTTCTGAAGGAATAAGAAGATTGTGTTATTGTGCAACACTGTACTCTAAGTGTTTGCTACAATGTGTGTTAATCACAATTGAGATTTTTGAAACTAAACATTGCTACTACAAAATTGATTTCTTATTTTCTTACTTCAAATGAAATAGAACTCCTATCTATTTATAGATGAGATTAATTGAACTTCAAGTAAACATGAAATAACTAAACTAAAATTATGCTAAGTCAGTCTATTTCAACTCAATGGACTCCTTCGACAATTACATGCTTCGACTGCATACTTCGACAAGCTGTATTTGACTTCCTGACAAATACAATTAATATAGACTCTTCAACACCCGTCGAATACAGACACTCTATTTCGACTTCGACATAAATAATTAAATATTTAACATTTATAAAATTGTAACATTATTAACATTATTATTTAGTTACAACAACAATAACAACCAAGCTTTATCTACTTAAGTGAGATTGGCTACATGGATCAACTTACACCATAATGTTCTATCTAGGACCATGCTCCTATCCAAATCTGTAATCTCAAAATCTTTCTTAATAACTTCTCTAATAGTTTTTATTTGTTTTCCTCTACCTATAGTTGTTTAACTCATCTCTGTCTGATTTATGATCTCTTTACCATAAAATCTACAAGTCTTCTCATTAGATGCATAAATGACCTAAATTTATTTTCTACAATCTTTTCTACTGTGGGTGTTACCCCAAAAGTCTCTCTCTAATATATATTTCTAATATTATCATGTACAGTCTTAGCACACATCCAACACAACATCGTCATCTCTACTATAATCATTTTATTCTCTTGTTAGTTCTTAATCGCGGAACATTCTGTCACGTACAACATCACATGTCATACTACATTTAGATTAAAAAAATTCCTTTCACCTTGAGTTGTACTTTTGTGTCACATAAAATCCCTAAAGTCCTCCTAAATTTTAACCATCCCGCTTGAATTCGACGGTTTACACCCCTTTCTATTTCTCCATCACTTTTCTTTACGGACCCAAGAAATTTCAACCACATGACTTGTGGGATGATATGATCTCCAAATTTTACCTCTAGATTATAAACACTTCTTATTTTACTGAACTTACATTTCATATACCTCATTTTTAACCTCTTAATTAAATCCTCCTTCGACTCTCCAAGTAAAAATATATAATTTACAAAAAGCATGCATCTCGGTGCAATATCTTAGATGTGTTTCGTGACTACATCCAAAATAAAGTAAAAATATAGGGGCTTAGGGTTAAACCTTGATGGAAACATTTGTAATAGGGAAATCATCTCTCTCTCTGCCATGTGGTCGCACACTAGTCACACCCCTTCATACATATCTTAGGAAACTCAAATATATGCAATCCTAACCCCTTTATTCTATAGGGATTTCCACAAAATCTCTCCAAGAACTATATCATATACCTTTGATCCACTGTCGCGCACAAATCAAAAACGAGTAATTTAAGAAAATAGTTAGCGGTAACGACAACTCGAGTATCTTTCTCACAAGGATTCTTGTATTATTTCAACCAACTAAAGAAAAGGTTTATGGGGGTTTTAAGTTTTGATTTATAAAATAAGAGAAAAAAGTGATTAAAAAAAGTGATTATCAGATAATCTAAAACGGCTAATCCTACTGATTCGGGTTCCGGCTTATCATCGGCTATAATAACACCAATCCCTAAGCGGTTTCGATTCTATTTGATTATGAGATAAATTAGACAAGCGCTTATCAAAATCAAATAAATTATGTTCCTGTTTTCCGAATTAAGCAAACGGTTAAGAATATGACGAGTTAACGAATTAAGCAAACGATAACACGCAATTAAATTTAGGAACATGCATACAATCGAATTTAATCAATTTCATCCTATGAACACAATTGAATTAAGCAAACGATTTCAATCAAATTAAGCAAATGACTTCATAGAAAAGAATTGAACAAAAATCGAATTAAATTGATATTAGAATAATCTCAAGCGATGGAACCCGTAAGTAGTAGGATTTGCCTTGGGAATTAGTTCTCCATTACAATCGTACAAAACACAATGAAATTCGTAAAAACAAGGTTAAGTGACAGTAGTACGGCTGCTAGGTATAAGAAAGCATCAACACTTCTGGTTTTAACCCAACTGGGTCGAAAAATATAAAAAACCCAGCCCAAAACTAAATATTTCAAATGGCAGATTTTAGGTTCTGACTTCAACGAATTATTTGGACCTGCTACACTCAGAATCATCTTCTGCCTCAAACATAAAAATTGTAGCTCTCTGTCTTAGCTTTCCAACGCCTATTAGAACATATAAGTCCAATTCTCGCAGCTCCAGTTATGATTCAAACAGTTGACAGATATCAAATAACCGCTAAAGCTGAAAATAAGCTGCAAAAATAAAATAAAGGTAAAAACAAACTTAAATATGAAAACAAATTAAAATAGTAAAAATACTCAAATAAATTGTAGAAACGCCTAAGTATAACAATGGAAGAATGTTTATGAAGATGTATTGATCAACCTTCTACAAGTAAATAAAAATTAAGTACAAGTTTTATTGATTCATCTGATACTGCTTCATTGCACATCGTAGTAGATAGATTTCTTCCATGATCGACCTTAACCAAATTGATTTGCAGTGACTTGAGTCTCTTTTATTAGTCTCAATTTAATAATTTTTTTTCCATTACTTCATGGTATAACTCATAAGTTTAATCACCATATAATTTGCACAATTTTGTTTAACCCTCGTGTTCTTATAGATGAGAACTAAAGTGCTTCTTTTTCATTTATCTGACATTTTCTTTGACCTCATAATTTCGTTAAAGCGTTTGGTGAGTTACTCAAGATCTCTATCTCCAAGATTTTTATACACCTTAATAGGTATGTTGCTTGACCCAATTGCATAAATGTTATTCATCATTTTCAACACTTCTTTTATCTATTGTTTCTGAATCCGATAGTAGTAATTATAGTTTCGATCCTCTAGTCTAATATCGAGTCTACTAGAGTTCAGTGAGATATCATATTTTTCATTAAATAAATTGTACAAATATGTTATGTAGTTATCCTTTATATCATTTTCTTGAACCAAACTTTGTCTTCTTCATCTTTAACACACTTCACTTAATCTAAATCTTTTGTATTTCTTTCTTTTCCCTTAGTAAGTCTATATATAGTTTTTTTTTTCTCTTTGCTTCCTAAAGATTGGTATAACCCGTCAAAAGCTTGGGTTCTTTCTTCATTCGTCGCCTTCTTGGTCTTATTCTTAACTTTCTTATACTTTTCTCAAGTTTTGACATTTTTAAACGAATATCATTCTTTAAAATAATTTTTTTTACTCTACTTTACTCTTGTCACTTTCTTTGTACCACCACGATTCTTTATCCTTTAGGTACAAAACTTGTTGATTATCCCATCTCTTTAACTATTTTTCTAATTTCTTAAACCATCTTATTTGATATATCATTTGCACTTTTATGTGGTTGTCCGAATCCTCTCTCGAAGATCTTTTGTTGAAAATTTTCTTATTTTTCACCTTTCAAATATCACTCCTTGATCTGTGATGCTCCCAGGTGGTTTCTTCTCCTTACTCTTCTCTTAATTTTTACATCCTTAATCAAAACTTTATCTAGAATAGTCATACTCTCTTATAGACTAACTTTATAGTCTAAGCAAATCTTTTTATCTACTTTTTTTAATAAAAAAAAAGTTTACTTAATAACCTATCACCCAACTTTTATACATGATCGTAAAATCAAAAGCAGATAAAAACTACAAGATAGATTTACCCTTGGCATTTATTCTCTATGGGCAAACCAAACTTCTTTATTATAGCTAGCTACCATGCCTATGCATCGCTGCTAAAAGAATATATATAAATTGTTTGCATATGCAAAAGTTCATTACTTCAGAAAGGCATTGACATCTTAGTGGCCATCGTGGTCTGGCATTGTTTAATTAGTCATAGTCAATAATATCCACATTTCATATACTTTAAATTATAATATTTCTAAGCTGAAAGAACGGGTCCAATATGAATATTGTTGCATCATACATATATTTCATACTGCATCTATATAAATACCAACCTTATGTATCCATCATTTCCATTATAAACCAACCAAACCAAATAACATGGCATCATCTTTATCTCATGTCTTTCTTGGTGTTATTGATGAAGTTATCAATAAACCAGAAATGGGAATACCAGAAAGATTTCTTAGACCAAATAAACAACCTTCCATTCTATTAGATCAAACCAATCCTTCACAAACAATTCCCATCTTTGACTTTCAAACTTTGTTATCTGCTGATAATACTCAGCTTCATAACTTGTTCTCAGCATGCAAAGATTGGGGATTCTTTCAGGTTTGTATTAATCATAAAATTTAATTTCTATGTACTGTCGTCCATGTCGATGTGGATATAATTCAATGCATGTGTGAATTTATTTTTGATATAGACAATGTATGTAAATTAATTGATTCAACTTTATGCAGGTGGTGAATCACGGTGTTAGTTCTGAACTACTTGAGAAGCTGAAAATAGAGATTGAGAATTTTTTCAAGCTTCCGGTTGAAGAGAAAACAAAATACAAAATACGACAAGGCGATTTTCAAGGCTATGGAGCTGTGATTAGAAGTGAAGGTCAAAAGCTTGATTGGGGTGATAGATTCTTCATGATAACAAATCCTATTCAAAGAAGAAAGCCACATCTTTTTCCTCAACTACCTTCATCGCTAAGGGAAACCTTGGAGACATATATTTCGGAATTGAAGAAACTTGGCATGAAACTTTTTGAGTTAATGGGAAAAGCCATTAAAATGGATTTAAAAGAAATAGAGAATGTGTTTGAGGATGGAAATCAGTCGATAAGGATGACATACTATCCGCCGTGTCCGAAACCGGAGCTCGTCGACGGGATCATCCCTCACTCGGACGGCTCCGGTATAACTATCCTTAACCAGATTAACGGAGTTGGAGGTCTAGAGATCAAGAAAGACGGAGTTTGGATTCCAGTGAATTTTCATACAGATGCTTTTGTAGTTAATATTGGAGACATTATGGAGGTTTGTCATCATCACCATCATCATTATATTTTTCTATCGTCTTTTTTTCTTCTTATTTTGACAAATGAATTAAGCACGTTGTAAATTGAACTTGTCCTACAATATTTATTATATCTATTAAATTTTCAAACTAATATATAAAAATATTTTCAATGAGTCGTGGTGTGGTGATCATACATACCACTATTGTTTCATAAAGATAATGCCAAATCCAAGATTTTTTTTTACCATTTTTTTTAATAAAGAATATGATGGTCAAAACCTTTTAATAATTAACAAAATACAAAATATTTTCATAATATTCTAGATTTGCTTTATTTCATATATTTTATAATTTAATATTAAAATTTAATTAATAGAGATAAAATTTTATTATTATATTTTATATTTTAATTTAGTTGATAATATATAATTTATTGATTAATAAAATAGAAAACTTAGTTAATAAATTATTAATAAAATATATAGTTAATAACCTATATTTTGTAATTAATATAATAATAAAAACAATATTTGATGTAAATATTTAATGTAGAAATTAGTGTAAGAATAATATTCATTATTCATTATATATATACCTAAAAGGTTAATATATTAAATCTTTTTACAGATTTTAAGCAATGGGGTGTACTCGAGCATAGAGCACAGAGTTACTGTGAATAAAGAAAAAGATAGATTTTCTATAGCTATGTTTTTCAACACCAAATTTGAAGCAGAGATTGGACCTGCAAAGAGTTTGATAAGTTCAGAAAATCCAGCTTTGTTCAAAAGCATGTTGATGGAAGAATACTCCAAATACTTTTTTTCACGAAATTTAGATGGGAAAACAAACTTGGAGAGAATGAGGATTTAAATGTATACGATTAAGAGTTGACTAATCTTAATAATATTCATTTGTGTCAGGTTGTTGTATGACAATTTATTAATCATAAATTCTTTATAAGTTGTTCTTGTTTGCCACATGTGGTTTTCAGTTTGTTAGATTTGATGCCCATTTTCTTTTGTTGTTTCTAGTTAGTTTCTTGTATAAGTATGCTTCTTATTAAAAATAGGTTATACTTTGTGCGAATTTAGCATTTGATTAAATGACAAAATATTTCTTTTTCATGTAACTTTTATATTTGTAGCTTTTATTTTTATTATTATCGGCATTTGTTGTGTAAAAATAATATTTTGATTTCATAAAAAATATATGATTTTCTTAAGGATAAAAAAAAATATGATAAGAGTTTAATGATAGTGCATTGTCAATGTAAAAAATTATTACAGCTACATCTAATCATAATACTTTAAAGTGTTAAATCATATAAGCAATTTAAAATACTTGTGAAATACATAATTATTATTGGTTGAGAGTGTAAAAATGATTTACACTGCAAGTTCACCATCTCTTTTCTCATATGATAATTTAGTTGTGAAGTGTATAATATTCTATATTTATATTTAAAAATATTTATTTAAAATAAGTTGTGAGTTATAAATAACATGCAAGTATTTAATATATATATATATATATATATATATATATATATATATATATATATATATATATATATATATATATATATATATATATATATATATATATATATATATATATATATATATATATATATATAATTTTGCTAACGTAAACCCGTATGTTTTTATGAAAGATTATTTTAGCAACATGTATCTTAAGGTGCATTTAACTATTTTTTAGTTAAAGCTTGCTAAAACACACCTTCATAAAAATAAGTAGGTATATTATAGCAAACCCCACAGGAGATTGCTATAATACACCCACTTGTTTTTACGAAGGTGTGTTTTAATAGCATGCACCGAAAGGTGCATTTGAAGATTTTTTTAGTTGAAGTTTGCTAAAAAAAATACCTTCATAAAATTAAATGGATCTACGTTAGCAAACTCATATATATATATATATATATATATATATATATATATATATATATATATATATATATATATATATATATATATATATATATATATATATATATATATATATATATATATATATATATGAGTGGGGATTAGGGCTGGAAATGAGTCGAGTCGAGTCGAACTCACCTCAGCTCGGCTCGACTCGTTAAGAATTGTTCGAATTCGAGTTCGAGTTCGACACGAACTTTTTTTTAATCTCAAACTCGACTCGTTATAAGTTCACGAACAGTTCGGTTCGACTCGTTAGGTTCATCTCATTAGGTTCATCTTACATGTTTCACGAACTTAAAAACTATTTTTTAAATATATATATTTTTTAGTATATTTGACATTTTAAATAAATATATATTTTTTAAATAAAATATTAAAATAAAATAAAAGTTATCATATTGAAATTTAACTTTATCTTTGAAATCTACTAATTCAAAACCTACACAACTTTCAAGAGATACATTTGAGAGTCTAATTCAAAAACTACTAAATTGAAGATTAAATTTGTCTAAGATTTGAAGTAAATTTAAACCTAATCTTAAAGACAGTATAATTCTTTTCATATGTAACCGAGTTGACTCATGAACCTAACGAGTCGAACTATGTATAGTTCAAGTTCAGCTCATTTAGTTAACGAACTTAATTTTTCGCTCATACTCAACTTATTTGGTTCATGAACCTAGTTCAACGATTTAATTGTCGAGTCGAATTCCGAACTATCTTCGAGTTGGTTTGGTTCATTGTCAGCCCTAGTGGGGATCAACACACTCTAAGAGTAACTTTTTTTTTTACTTATTCCAAATCATATTCTTTGAATTCAATGTAATCGGATTGTTCAATTAGTCTTTTATTTAATTAACCATTAGATTACTTTCAATTCAAAATCTATGATTTAGAATAAGTTTAAAAATATTATTCTTGGAGTAAGTTTAAAAAATTTACATTTGAAGAGTGAGTTTTTTTAACTTACTTCAAATCATAGTCATTGGATTTATTCTAACCTAATGGTTATTTAAGTAAAAAAAAACTAATTAACCATTAAATTAGATAGAATTCAAAGTTTATGATTTGAAGTAAGTTAAAAAAATTTACTCTTGAAGTAAGTTGATCTCCAATACATATATATATATATATATATATATATATATATATATATATATATATATATATATATATATATATATATATATATATATATATATATATATATATATATATATATATATATATATATATATATATATATATATATATATATATATATATATATATATTATTATTATTATTAAATTAAAAATACACACATTTATAATCCGTTAATATTTGGAATTTGAATATTAAAAAATTATAAAAATAAGATTATCAAATTAAATTTGTAACAAATTAGAGCACGCAAATCCAATTAGGTTTTCATTGTCACAACTGCGTGTGAGTGAAGAAAAATGGTTATAACCATTATTAAAAAATTTGCGTTTAGTCACCTAATTAGAGGCCGAAAAAGTCTAAAAATTGGTCACTATAACATTTAGCGACCAATAACGTGACTATCAAATTTCGGTTGAAAAAGTGTTAGTCACTAACTTTATAGACGAATTTAATGACCAATTTTAGCTAATGAAATTAGTGACCGATTTTAAAAAAACTTAAAATAAAACAAAAGTTTTGTCTCTAGCAAGAATCAAACCAATGCATTTTTCTTTGTGAGGCTTTCAAGTGTCCACTGCGCTATTTGATTTTTGTTGTATAGTTTACATTTGAAATGTATATATTATTAATGAAATAGAACTTTCAAATATTATTTAAAAAGATTCTTACTCTAATTGTCATTAAAATTATATTTTATCTAAATTAATAAATTTGTATGAGTTAATTATTTATATGAATATATGTTTTATTTAAAACAATAAAAATGTAAAATTTTGACTAAAAAATTAAAAAAATAAAATAAAAGGGGCGAATTGAGAGGTAAGTAACTTAATAATGAAAAAAATAAAAAAAAAACAAAAATATTGTGACCGAAATTTCGGTCACTGAATTTTTGTATGAATTAATTTATATAAAAACGATTATTTGAGACTAAAAGTTATGGTCACAAAATATCAGTCGCTAATTCGGTGGCTAATTTTATTTAGTGACTTTTAAAATTTTACTAACATGACGTCTAATTTTGATGGCTAATTCGGTCACTAGAGTGACCGAAATTTTTCAGTCACTAAAAGTGAATTTTCTAGTAGTGAACATTGATCATGATAGGTGGATTTGCATGAAGAATCTCTATTTGATGAGTTCTTTTCATTATCTAAGAGACTCATCTCATTGTTGAGAATGAAAGGTAGATTTGGAGTTATACTAGATATAGTTGGTGTTTGCCTATCATGTCTAGTGTACAGTTGGTCCTAATTTTTAAGAGCATGTAGCAAATTTCTTCCTAACTCTTCCCTTGATTTATGAGAGTTGAGGTCCTTTTAAAGTGGTGGTTTTTCTTTGCAACTTTTGTGAGATAGGTTATCATCTAAAGAAAACTTATTTAAGTGAAATGTTATTGATCTATAGGGGACCTTATGTGTCCTTTGTGGAAATCATGTTGAGTCAGCTTTCCATTTATTTGTGACTTGTAATTTAGTTTCTAGTGTCTCGTATGTGGTTTTTAGATGGTTAGGGGTTCTTTCGACTCTTTCTAAGAATCTTATACTAGTTTTTGAGTTTTTTCTTTCTCTAGGTCTTTAGGCTAATTTTAGGGATATGTTTATTTATATTTGGCATGTTTAGGTGTGTACTATATGACATGTCAATAATGATAAAGTATATTCTAATTTGTCAACGAATCTGAAAAAGGTGGAGAATAAGAGTATCTTTTTGTCTTGCATTTCAGATCTCTTTGGACCCCTCTCTCCTTCAATGATTAGCTCAAAAATCCTATCTTATGCATGAACTAATAGCGGATTGGTATTTTGGCATGGCCTCTGGTGCGTAGTGGTTTTTGGGTGTTTTATGTGGGTGGTGATTTGGAGTTATACTAGATATGGTTGGTGTATTCCTATCATGTCTAGTGTACAGTTGGTCCTAATTTTTAGGAGCATGTAACAAATGTCTTCCTAACTCTTCCCTTGGCGGGTTTGATGTCTGAGTGTTTTAGCTTGGTTCGTATGGGTGGTGGCTTGCTGGGTATGTAACTGTTGGTTTTTCCTTTTCTTTGACTTGTTTTTGGGTGGCTAATTATATTTGTTTCTTTTCGCTTTCTTCGTGTTTCTTATTACTTGTTGTGATGTTGTTTTGTTCACCTGAAATTTATTATGTCCGTTGTCTTTATTATTTTTTTCTTTTAGGATTTTGTCATACATTTTTAATGTAGTATTATTTTTCCATTAAAAAATATTGATCATGAAATCGCTCGTTGAGTAAATGAAAATATCTCCGTTAATCTTAAAAAATTATATTAAAAGCACCACAACTAACAAATGGCTCAATGATTGCTTCTTGACTATTATCACTACACCATAAAATACTTTTCACATTGATTAGAAAATTTATCACGTCAGTTGGATGTTTGAGGTAACATAGAGTGTTATATTAAATCTATCACATTTTACTTCTCATGATTGACAGAGGTGAAAAATAGTTTATCGTCTCAATTAGTAAGTGAACCAAAGTGATATGTGTCACTTCTCACATTGATCAGAAACGTAATCTAAGTGATATGCATCACTTTTCACATCGGGAAGCATTGTAATCAAAGTATTATGCATAACGTTTAACCTCTAGCAAGCTTATGATCGACATGATATTAGTGTAGGGAACAACTTTCAAATTAGTTATGTATCGTAACTGAACTGAAAATCCTTGTACTTTTAAAAATATGTTTTCTAATATATTTTTGGTTATAACCTATATATTTATAACCCAAATGACACATTTTGT